TCTTAATCAGGTGCAGCGTCATAAGTCTCGGTTAATTGTGGCAGCCTCCTATTTGGAGCCGGGGAACATTCCCATTAGAGGGCCGAGATTTATGCGCGGACTAAGTGGTCCGACTGGCGGCGATTACCGCCTTTAATTAGACATTGTTTAGCTGGGCAGTTACCCTAGAAGTGTGCTTTTTTATGGTAAACACCGCGCTCTGCACCCAAAACAAACGAAAATAAAATCTATTTAGTACTTCACTCAGAAACATAACTGATAAACATGTCTTATAGGAAAACATAAATTTTCATTACTGGGAACTAATATATAAAATTATATAAATCGTACTTATAATATTAATTATTTTCTTTTGGAAAAAGTTTGGATATTGGTTGTAGATATTTACTTTTCAAAAAGCAAAATATATTATATAACGAAAGAAGTCCCTTCAAGAACACTTAAATTTTCTTTTCGGCTGCTACTGTAAAATTTGCAGAAAAAATTGGAGTTTTGTCAAATATCTGAAATTTTTAAGCTATCATTTAAGGAGGAGAATTGTTTCGACAGTTTATTAGATTTTATAAAAAGTATTATGAGTGTGAAAAACTTTTTTCAAGCTTAACTTTGAAAGAGCCTGTCTTTGGGTAAGGTCTTAACCATTTAACCTTTTTGTTCCATAACTCTCTGGTTTGACCGATAAACTTTCACAACAATGCGAAAGAAGCAGCTGCTTTGGAATCGAAATCCGCAGCAACGGGAGTTGCGAGGCCCAGTGATTATAGCCCACAATCAATCAATAGTTATAATTGGTCATAATTCGGTAGCCGGCCACTAATTAGATGCTTTACAATACAACCAATTTACCACGCGCCAATGGTTTTGGCCAGGCCAATAAGAGAAAACCCGCACAGCAATTTAACAAAATATGGAAGCAGATTTATCATATGCAAATTGCTCAGGCATAACAAAAGGCCCAGCCAGCTGCGTTGAATACGGGTTCGAGTTCGAGCACGAACAAGAATCGGAATCAGAGCCAGACTTAGGACTCACTAGCGGAATCACCGAAAGATTCGATTTGAAAAGATTCGATTCGAAAGACTTCAAAGACAGTAGAATCGATCGGAGACACAAGAGGCCCACAATTACCAGTGGGGGCATACTAGAACAACTTCTGGCCATTGGGACCGGTGCTATGGGCCAGCCAGCATTGTTCCTAATTAATCCACGGGGAATGCATAAAGCCCCTTCGCTTTCGGGGCACTATCAACACCTCATTACTCTTTTGATCACACTCCTCGTTAATGAAGATGTCAGCGGCAGCTGCCGTCGCAGCCAAATAAAATAAAACCGAAGACACAGAGACGGAGACATTTGAATTCAAAATTTAAATCAATGTTTAGAATTCCGCTTTTGTTGTTGCTGCGACTAGAGACTCTCGCAGTTGCGAGGCGACAAAGATTAAATGTATACCAACTCTAGGCTGAGCCGCTAGCGAAGTCCGAATGCTCTACCCATGGCTCAGAGGACGGGGATCTGAAATATGTCGAAGATGCCCGATGGAGCACCGCATCCGAAGCCGAGAAACCTGTATCTGCATAAAGTTATAAACAAAGAAAACAAATTTGTCTTATCGCCCAATTCCAAATGAGATGACAACGAGACAAAATCACTCCGTCCCCGCCTTCGAATCCGAATCCGATTCCGATTCCCCCTCAATCTGTATACCTAGTGCTGAGCGTTAAAAGCTCGAGCTCATTTAAGGAGCGGACAAACACAAATGCACATTTTTTAATCGCTTGGCTCATTAACAGAGGCCCTGACGTCGAACCCTCGCAATCGGGGCACCAGGGAGTGGAGTGGATCCAATGGGATGTGAATTGGGGCTAGAAGGGGTACACCTGGGTCGGGTCATCTGAATCGCCATTGTGGCCATTTAAGTTTGAGCATAAATCAGTCGACTGGATGGCGACACTCTCACGCATTTTAATATCCCAACATGTTTCACAGGCATACCTTTGGATATATACGAGTTTACTCGTGTATAAAAAACTTATAGGCAATTTGTTGAGACAGGAGTTTATAGAGCAAAGCCACTTTAATTTATTTTGATGGGTGCAGCTTCAATAGAAAACAAATATTGAAATACTGCAAATAGATATATTACTTGTACCTTAAAATTATTTTCAATTTATGACTAATGATTCTCATATGTAACTATAATATTGCTTTTAAGTTATAAGCTAAGACTATGTTTTAAGTGCATAAAAACATATGGTTTAAAACCTACTTGTAGCACGAGAAAACGTTTAAAACAAATGAAAAAAAACTTTGGTAATCATCATTGACATACGCACTTTTATTTTGTGCTTAAATCGACATTTCTAAAAGCTCTTTTCAAAATTGTCTTTAAATAAAAAAAATTGCCAATATGTATTTCATATTTTAATAACCACTTTTCTGGGTAATTGTTGCAAAGGCTGGAAAAAAAAATACTTTGTTGACATATTTACATATAATTTTAGAGTTTATTATAAGCTCAAAATTGTTGTTAAAGCTACCTTTTCGATAAATTAAATCATAATAACTTGTTTAGACCCTTAATTATATTACAAATAAGCTTAAGCATTCTTGAAAATGAATGTTTTCTAATTCACTTCCTCAAAAATACAAAAGACACTTGATTTTTCGATTTTCCAAGTAGAGAGTTCGTGCCTACATATATGAAAACCATACGATATGTAATTGCAGATCCTTTAACCCATGGTTCCGTGCGACTTAATTGCTTTCGTGTGTTTGATTGCCGGGGAGGGGACTTTGGGGCTCAGGGAGACCCCTGCATTTGACGTATTTGTTTTTGTAAGCCGTAAACGTAATGGCGGAATAACGACACCCATTCCCATTCACAATCTGGGAATGATATTCGCCTTTCTCTCTCTGGCACTGGCTAACTCGCATTTGCATCGCCAGCTGGCGAAGGGGGAGGGGAAGGGCCACGAACAACATTGTTGTCATATTAGTAAACGTAACTAACTTTAGTTATTGCTGGTGTTGCGACTTCGCACGTTTATGGTCCATTTAGAAGTATGCATTGGCAATGTTGCGCCGGCTCGCCAACAGATTTATCACCGGCTCCTTGCCTGGAGAGCCCTGCAGATTCAGCTACACCGAGAAAAAAAAATCGTACCAAAAATTAAATTAAATTATAAATTCAAAACAAAATTCCATATGCATCTTTAATCATCGTCTTTAACATTAAAACAAAATTTTTTAAATTTAACTTTGCTTTAAAAATTAAAGCGTGAAAGTATATGTATTTTTGTATAATAAATAATATTAAAGGATAATAATTCAACAAAAATTTCATTTTTTTATATTTACTAACATTGTATAATCTTCAATAAAAGTTTTTTATTAGTACTTTTAAGAAATCTTAAAAAGAACTTTGGGGTTATCAATTTAAATTTTTTTGTTTTTCATTACCGCTTTTCCCTTTTCTTCCTGCTTATAGATACCTGATTAAAGTAAATAAAATTAACCAAATATTGTTATTTATTTATCTTAATGATTTTGAAAATAGAGAATTTTTTTTTCCGTGTAATACGAGTCTGTCGTTGGAGCCTTGGTAAAGTTCATCGATTTCCGCCAACCCAAACAATAAAAACTGCTCAGAGCCAACGGCGGGCCGCAAACATTTGGCAACAAAGTTGCAGGACAATCTGCAGGCCCCAGGACTCATCAAGTGGCCAACTGATCAGCTCGCCGAGGATGGTGGATATACGACTTGGAGTTGGTGGATCGTAAAAATGTTTGACTGCGATTATATGGCGCTCATGAGAGCGCCACTTTGCCCTGGTCCATCAAAACGCAGAATTCTCCTGCCAAACCCTCTTCGAAAAAACAAAAAAAGGTTGATGGAATCCCCAGGCCTTCAAAATACAAATTTAGTACACTAAACGAAACCATTGAATAAGCGTGAACCGCGGGTATTCATATTCGTATTTTGTTTTGGCTGACCCACAGCCGTGGCGCAGACTGTATAAATATCGTATAATGTATAATTTATGGGCGCGAGGTGAAAATGTTTTCAATAGAAGGTGATTTAAATTTATTAAAGGAATGCTCACGAGCAGCTCCGCACTAAATTAGAATAAGTCGGATGGGTGATGCTCATAAAAAGCCAAGCAAATTGAATTTGTAGACATCGTCACCCGATGCCGATGTCGATGCCGTTTCGATCCCCAATCCCCAAGTCGCAAGTCCCAAATCCCTGTAAGTATCGACACGAAAGAGCTCCACGCTCCAGCTTATCAGATGCGAAGATGCGAAGGCCCCGAGAAGAGGCCGGCTCATTTAAATCTCGGCCAGGCCAGAAATAAAGACGCGCATCCACCCGGTTTCCAACCTAAAAAAGTCAACGATCCAAACCGATCCAAACCGATCCAATCCAAGCCTGCAAGCTCGCCTTTTGTTAACACCATAATTTACATTGATTTATGTGCTTAGTTGGCTCGGCATTTTTAATCGGTCAGCGGAGTACCCCTTCGATATACAACCATATACCATCCAATATCCAATACCCATCGTATCTCTTATAGTTTGTCTTCACTGTGTGTGCGCGCGGCTTCATTTGGTTATAATTAAAATGTCGATGTTATCTACCAGATTTGGACATATTGGCCATTACGTTCGAAATTTAAGCGATTTCTATGCGCGTATTTTGGTTTTGATTTCGATTTCGTTGGCATTTCTTCTGTCTTCGTTCGGTCACACAATGAATATTGATTGTATTAATATTTAATAACGTTTTAAGAAGCTTTCGAGTGTTAAATGCTTATTTATGCTCGTCGGCCGTGTTTGGTGTGTTCTTTTGCGTGTCTTAGAACGGATAATTATGCGTGAAATCGAACAAATAAATTGTATTTTTGTTGTCAAACCAAAGCCAGGCTATACTAACCGATTTCCTGGTTGTTTATTTATTTTTTATTTTTCTTTGGGGAAGAAAGCAAAAGAGTTATTGGTTATTTCTTGCACTTTTTATTGGTTTCTCACTCAGTGGAGTTTGGTTGCCTTTTGATTTGAGCCAAAAACACTTACTCTACAAAATATCAGTTCAAACGCAACCAAAACTAAAACTTACGCAATACGCATTCATAAATAGATGGCTTAGGACTATTTAAAGTTAGAGTTACATAGAGTTATATATTGCATATGCTATAGCCTTAAATGGTGATGAGGTAAGTCGGCAGCCGGCGAATGAACAAGTATAGTAATTATGCATAACTAGAGGGTATACAATGGGTATATAGTATGTGCATTAAAATGGGACAAGCGTGTGTTCGTACGTAGTATTAGTTACAATTTCAGCTAATCTTAAGTCGCCCATTATTGTTGTTGCTGTTGCTCGTGCTGCTGCTGCTGTTGTTGCTTTTTTTCAGCGACCCCGAACCGCAGCCAAGTAGGTGAGCAGCATTTTAACTTTGGTTTTCGATTTGTTTGCCCACAAAAGTATAGTCGCTTCTCGTGTTTCAGTCCAACAAATCCCCAACAATTGCAATTTGAAACAGTAGTTGCTGTTGCTGTGGCTATTACTGTTGCTGCTGTCAATCACAGAGGCGCGCACAACTCAAGTTTTCAATTAGATGTTGCCGCTTAGCGGTGGTCATGCTTTAGGAATTGCATCGTAGCCGGTATTGCCGGCGCATCGGAGGATGACAGACGGGCCACCTTTGCCGCCGCCGCCGGCGATTCAATTTCACCATCCGAATCGTCGTGCACGTTGATCTCTTCATCCGAGTCGGATGACGAGTTGTCCACCGTCATGGTTGAGCCGCCAGCGAGTCCTGCTCCTGCGCCTGCTCCTGCTCCCTCACCTCCGCTTGGGGTAAGTCCCCCCGCGGAGTAGTGCAATCTGGAGCGTTGCTCCTCGGCCACCGTTAGCGAGGCGGCCACGGCATATTGCCGGGCCAGTCCCAGGAAGGCAGCCGCCGAGGGCGAGCTCACCAGACTGCGGAAGGCACTCCTCTCCCCACCCATGGACACAGGATTGCATCCACTGGGTGATAGTTGCTGCTGTTGCTGATGTTGCTGCTGTTGTTGCTGCTGCTGCTGCTGATGGTAGTGGCTCAGGAGTTGCAGGGCCGCCGGATGCGTGGGCAAATGCAGAGGATGATGGTGATGGTGGCCACCTGGCGGTCCGTGCAATGGGTGCAGCATCACCGAGGGCGGCGGAGCCTGCGGCGAGTGATCCCCGCACAGGGGCATCGGCTGCTGAGGAGGTGGCACCGGAGCCACTGGCGCGGAGGTGGAGGCGCTACTGTGATTACTGGGCGTGGGCGAACCGGCCGGCGCATCGTTCGACTGCTGCGAGTGCAGCGGATTGGCGGGACTGGAGCGCTGACGCTTCAGGAGATTCATGCGCTGGTGGCGACGCCATTTAGCCCGCCGATTGGAGAACCAAACCTGAAGGTGAAAAATAGAAAGGGTATTAATTGACGAAAGGGTTACTTAAATAATTAAAAAAAACTTGTTGATTATCCTCTTTAATTTGCCAGAATGTTAGGCAATGCCTATTATAGTGATCATAAATTCTAATAGGGTATAAGACCCTCAACTGTTTTGATCGCTTATAATAAACAGGATTTATACCAATAAATTGCTTACTAAAAATCAGGTATTATCTTTTTTTAGTGAAACATCTTATTAAGCTCTAATAAATTATACGATGTTTAAGTGATGAACACTTAAGTTTCTATGGTACTTATGTTAATATCAAGCAAAAACACATCTTAACGAGGTATAAAATAGTTTTAACTATCTCATCTTCAACATAAATCGTTCTGACTAAAGAAATTGCACTGTGCGGAATGTATTTTCTTATTTTTGGGTGATCAACATCAACCTGACTCACCTGCACACGCGCCTCGCTCAAGCTGGTGCGACTGGACAGCCTCTCTCTGGTGCTGACACAAGGATAGTGCGACTTGTCGAACTCCTTTTCTAGCTCCTCCAACTGCTCCGGACTGAAGGTGGTCCTGTTGCGCCTGAACTTTGGTTCATCATCGTCATCCAGGTAGTCGGAGTCTATGTGCCTGTTCTCGTCGGCCGATTCCAGGGTGTCATGGCTGCCCGAGCCGGGTGAGATGGCCCGATTGGTGGGTCCACCACCTGCACCGCCGGCCATGAGGTGGGCCGAGCTAAGGGATCCGCAGGTGGGAGCTGGCACCGCACTGGCCGCACTGGGCGGCAGGTTGGCCAGCGTGGGAGCGGCCACGGACCACAGGGCGGATGGAGGCGGTGGCGGGGGGACGACGCCCTGGCCACCAGGAACATTGCCAGCCGGATGCCAGGTGAAGCTGCCATAGGGATGCGGGGGCGGCGGGTACAGGCCGTAGGCGGCGGTGCGGGCGAACTCGGTGGCCACTCGCTCGGCGGCCCGGTTGCGCAGGATGCGATTGATGCTGCTCACCGAGGGAGCCGTGGCATTGGTGCAGACACCTGCAAGGCGGGATTACGCAATTACCAACAACCATTCGAGGCAGATTTAAGATCGCGAGATTAAAGCTAAAAGCGACCGCCGATCAATCAGCGATCAATCTGGACCGGACTAACCACCGGATTAGCTGCAATTATCTGAATGGAGACTCACCCTCTGAGATCAGGCGTTCGCGTATCTCCCAGGCGAAGATCGTCGGATTCTCGCGCTTGTACTGCTCGATCTTGGAGACGACCGTCGGCGTGGCCACCTTGGGCTTTGAGCCACCAATTAAGCCCGGTGGTCGCAGCGAGCCTGCAAAAACCAGAGCACAACAGCGAAAAATTATGAGACAATCGATTTATGACTATGCGATCGCGATTTTGGCAATCCATCTGTTGTTGGCTATTGGCTGGCAGCCAGGCTTATCCCTTGTTTTTAATATCTTTATCTGTTTGCCCCATCAACTTGAAGTGTTGCTGAAGAAATAAAAGGGGAAACACTACCTGGTACTTCGGTACAAGCACTGGTAAAAAAATACCACCATACTTTTGATTAAACGAGAAAATTAAATCACATTTAAATGATTCTTCATCGATAAATTTGATAAGATTTGTTATTTTTTTATTAGGTACAATCTATTCCAGTTGCCTACTTTAGTTTGCTAATTAATCACACTTAAATGATTTTTTAAAGAACTTAGAGAATATATTATATTTCTTTAGTTTAAGCAATTAATTTTGTCTGTCAATTGTTTGCCTAAACTGTTTTGTAAAAAAAGTTTAACATCTTAAACCAGATAACCTCAAAATAATTCGATTTATTGATATATGCGATATATTAAGTGTGTTTTTCCTGTATTTGCCAGTTAAAAACAGGTTTAAAAGTATTTGAGTTAGAAAAGTTTAAGAGTTTATACCAAATTAGTTAATGTGAGAACTTGATATCATTAATATAATCGAAACACTGTTTTAGGTTGGCTGTAAGTGAGATTTAGTTTTTACGAATAAATATTATGATTAATTGTAAAATAAAAAGCGCTTTCTTCTGCATACTGGTTTTCTTTATTTTATTAGCCTATATTTTGCTTAATATTTTTTTTCCAGTGCAAGGACAGCACGCACCAACCACCACCACCACCACTATGGAAAACAAGCCCTCGAATAAGCCGCATTTTGATTAATGAGCCAGCCGCGTTTTGGCCACCGCCAGCCAGGAGTTTATGCAATTTTAAGTGGCCAAATTACACGGCTGCGCACACGAGGGATAACTCGGAAAGCAGGATGATGGGGATGGGGATGGGTTGCTCGCAGGATAATAACATGTTTATCATTAAAATTAGCAAACAAATCGAAAACAAAGTGCCTATTAGTTATCTGATGGCGGAACGAATGGGAAAGAAGGGGTTCGCTACTCACCTAGCAACTTGGAGACAGCTCCCTGCTGTGTTAGCATGTGCTGGGCAATGTCGTAGCCACGCAGTCCGCCGAATCGGGAGAATTCCAGGAGGCGATGCTGCGACATCAGCGTGTTGAGGGTGCTCCCCGTCGATCCGGCTGCTCCCGGCGGAACTCCAGAGGCGCCGCCGCCAAAGCCGCCGTGCGGTATTTGCACAGATGTGGGCGATGTGGAGGCCCCCGCACCACCCACACCCACACCCGCTCCAGATCCAGATCCCGAACCCGCCGCCGCTGCTGCCGCCGCTGCCGCTGCTGCTGCTGCTGCCACTACTGCAATTGAACGAATTGAATGATAATTGGCCATTGTCATTATATTGTGGCTTTAGCTGTCCCGGCCACAATGGTTAATTATGATAAATTAACCGTTAATTGTGTTGACTGAACCGAAATGACTGATGGGTTTCTACGACTCTGTATATTAGCTGTATTCCCGTTCCCATTTCCCCCAACAAATACCATTTGACGATCGACGATCGACGCTCTAATCGCCAAAATGGTGGCGACACGCAAACGAATACGAATCTCCTGAATCGCGGGGCAGATTTATCAAAGCTAATTGAAACGACAGACTGTGCCAGTACACAATGGCGAAAATTAAAATATATGTACTCAGCTGGCTGAAAAACGACTGTGTATTACGTTAATTCGACAGAATATTATATTTGCTTTCGCTTAAAAAACATACATGTATCATTCGACTTGGGCAACTCGTCGCTCAAATTGTCAATTAACGTTTTAAATGCGCGTTTCACTTTTGTTGTTTGTCGAGTAAATATTTTTTAAAAAAATATGAGCACCTCAAGTCGTCCCTAACTGAATATATATATATATATGTACGGGGCTCATAATCAATTGTGCCGCTCATCAAATGAGAACCAGTTTTGTTTATCTTTGCTTAGAAAGCTGAAAAGCAAGGAAATGGGACTAGCAAATGAGCCACGCACTTGGTATTATGACATGCGTAACGGTTTTTATTTATTTTATTTATAACTCAAAGAAAAAATATTTTTATATGTCTTAAATACCCTGAACTTAATTACTCATCTTAATGGTTTCGACAATCCAACCGCTTTAGATTTCAATTTAACATATTACCCTTAGTGAGCCACTTAGTTGATTTAAATTACCGAAGTAAATTACAGTTTAAAATAAGAAGGAATATTTAAACATGTGTTCTGAAAGAAAAGGTTTTAAGAGACTCAATAAAAGGACTTTGACATTAAAATAACAACACAAGTTTTGTCTTACCTACAAAAAAGACCACTTCTATATAAAACTACTACAAACACACATTGGTTTGTAGTACTTTTATATAAAAGTGGTCCTAACCTAAAAATATCTGATTTTATATATAAACAGATTCGTTAATTCGATTCCCCTTAAATTCGTTCTCTTCAGAAAGTTTAAACACAGCATCTTAAAATCTTTTAATAGTCCTTAATTAATTTTCTGTATATTTGTTAGTACAGTCAAAAGTTTTACTTTACATTTTGCTTTATAAAAAATTTTTTTTTGAAAAGGTTTAGTGGAACCAATTGACACGATATCTAAATTTTGGCTCAAATAAAAATTCTTGAATTTCTCCACAAAAAAGTGAATAACTGTTTTCTGAATCCAATTTACTTTTAAACGTATGGGATTGAACACTAAAATTATAATGTTTGATTCGAACTTAATGGCTTTCTCGACACATGAAATATTACGCCTTTGACCTAATTCCATTTACATGTGTCCAGTTTCAGCACAGCGGTATATATTTTCGGTAGTACCCTGGCTTAGCTTTGCCGTCGGCTAATTAACACCTGATCACTTAAGGCTGGGGTTCACTTACCACTGGAAGCGTGAGGGGCCAGCGATGTGATGCGTTGGGGATGGGGCTCCATTTTCCAATGCGCGGCCGAGAGGCCAGAATTAGCGACAGTAAGCGAGCCAAGGTCACGGTTTAAAGTCGGCTCAATCAACATGTCTATGAATCGCTCTAATCAATTTCGCCTTTATTTATTGTTATTATATTTGTTTGTTATAGTGGGTATTATTTTTCCAGCAAGTGGAGCACAGAAAACAGTCACAATCACAGTCACAGATGTTGTACATTCAAGGCAGAAGTATCGATTATAGAGAACGCGAGTTCGAGCGGAAACGGAAATGGAAACGCAATGCGGTCAATTGGATTCATAGCGTGCTGCTCACTCACACACAAACACACAGACACACAGTCGCGAGCCGATCCCGACAGAAACAGTTAGAAAACGTTACTGCTTTTTTCTTAAAATTTTTTTAGAATTTTTTCCGAACACTGCGCTCCGTTAAAACGTTGTTCACGCGAAAGCTGCTCTCAGCACAATGAGCGCTTGAATTTCACCTGGTCACCCGGGTCACTCCACTCCACTCAAACCGTTTCACTCGGGTTTTGAGTGGTTTTTCGAATCGCCAACCGGTTTGCGAGTACCGCACTTTCATAATGGCGGCCGTTGAAATCGTTCGCTCTCTCTCGCTCTTGCATGAAAGAGCAGGACAACTATTTACTCGCACTGCGCGCACACAAATCAAACAATTATAAACTCGTATAAACACTGGCAAGAAGAAGAAGTAGCAAGAGAGTGAGAAAGAGAGAGTTGGGGAAAAAAAAGAAGAAAACTAAGCAGAAGAAGAAGAAGAAGAAGAGTTGGGGAAGTCTTCTTTTTTTTCGTTACAACAAATCAACTTTGGACATTGGGCGTTAGAAGTCAACCTTTAGTTGCACTTAACTCCATATTTACCATAATAATTAATGGAATTCACCGTGCAGTTGAAATAGTAACATTTAAGACCTTTTAAATGGCTGTTCTGACTAATAGACTTAATTTTCGGTAATATTAACGCCGAGTCCATGGCCCCAATAAGTAGGCACTTTCAAACACCAATACACGATTTCCACTTCCATTTAAAATTGAGTTCACAGTCTATTTCCATTCAAACAAGCATGAATATAAACAATCATTAGCATTTATTGAAAGTTAAAAAACATTATAGTTTACAAGATTTTTTTTTAATGTTTTTGTTTTATTTCGGATTGCTTAGAAAAAGACTGTTATTTAAAAAATTTTTTTACCAGTATTAAAAAAAAAACACATAATAAAAAAGTTAAATTAAATGCTGTGTCAAAAAGATTAAACAAATATTTTTAGACGGCCCTCCCAAAGTCTTTACTATCTAAGAAGAAACCATTTCGTTTAACGTAATATCAAGAGATTGAATAATTAAGACCAACGAATTGTCTCTTAATTTAATTTCCGTTAAAAAGACGATAATACTAAAATTTTATTAACTTTAAATTAGTTAATATTAAGTATTAGTCATCTGATTTATACATCTCTCAATTTGTTCAAGAAAGCCCTACATTTATATTTATTTTTGGTTTATACCAATACGTTTAATACTTTTTCACAAAAATAAATACATAATCACAATAAAACTTACATATGAAAATCAATTAAGAATTGAGCCCTACAAATTTATATGTTAACAGCAAAGTATTAGATTAATATATTAAACTTATCAACAATAATCAACAACGTTTACAACGCGCGTTCTAAATAATTCTTTGGTGCCCGAAATAAAAAAAAATTGTGGACATTTTATAGAAAAATTACAGTGCTCAACTAATTTAATTTGTATTGCAAATAACGTAGGTAAGCTTACGGTTTTGTTAGATCTTTGGAAACAGCAACTGTGAATGCCAAAGAAAAATATAAACTATTTATTATTTATATTAAAATAATGCCCCTAAATACTTTTCTTAAATGTTGTAAATTAGAATTAGAAACCAATTTCATTTAAAAAAATTTCACGTAAGAAATAAACCTTCAATTGAAGGCCTCTGCAAACTTTTTAGAAAGGCATTTTAATCGGGGACCAAGTTCAGCGAGGTAGCCAAATTGCATCCCGAATTCCTGACAGAACCTGAACCTTGGATACAATCGCATGCATGGCGTGGGGCGTTTGCCATTCAGGTTTGCTCTGCCGGGCTGGGTCGTTGTCTTTCGTGCGTGATGGATGATTGATGCGCTGCCTGGGCAAGGCAATCCGATGCGAATCGAAACTGCAACTAAACTACACATGGCGTGATCGGCGAGCCACACAGAACAGGGTCCAAATGGCAGAGTGGCTCACACAGAAGCCAAATTGCATCAAAGCCCACGAATTGACTGGCTCCCGGACTGGCTGCAGGATTGCAAGCAGAAAGCTGAAAGCTGAATGCCGAGTTAAAAAGCAATTACCTGGATTGATTCCGGAATGAGAAGACGAGGTGCACAAATCTGGATGTGAAACGGTACGGCACCATATAGTATTATGGTCTTCCGACTCACCTGGCGATAATGAGATGTCTCACTAAGCTGATCAGAACTGCCTTTGTATTTATTTGTCTGTTCGAACTTCGAATGCAAAGTGCACAATGCGCCAGACACTCGCACATATATGTTTCTCCGATTTGTGAAAGGCAAATCATGAATGAACGTTGCTGACGATGACGTTCGAGTGCCCTCATGCCAGAGATCCAGAGCAAACGCAAACAATCGAACAGGAATAATTTACTAAGTAAATAATATCTGGATACCGCTCGCTACACGGTCAGAAAATATAAATATTAGTTTTACATTGTGTAATATATTATCTCCTAAGAAGTTGTAACGATCAATGAAATTATCTTATATAAGTCTGAATAATAGTTTGTTAAATAATATATTTTTTTTATAATTCCTTACAAGATATTTATTTAAAAAATAATAATAATAATCCAAATATATAAGGTATTTTACTATGCAAAAGCATTGAATTGGGGACAATTTCGAGAGTAATTTTTGTCAGTGTTAAAACCCTGCGAGTAGCGTGCGCCCTCGCCCCATCAAGTGGCACTTCAACAATCAAGCATTCACACAAGCAGATGGTCCGCAGCCGTTGGCGACCACCTAAATGAAATTTCATTTACTTTTCGCCCGTCATCGCCGCCGCAATCGCAACCTGGTCATCGAGATCCCAGATCCCGTCCCTCTCCATCCAGAGGACCCGTCTCCTATTTGCTTATGCACACATTATCAACGTACGCCCGCCTTATTGAGTGTTTGTTTACCTAATTCGATTACCGATCGCGTCCGTTCGCGCCATAGTCCGGCGATCACTTGACCATTTGGGTGGCACAGAGCCGTACTTATGGGGTCCGCTCTTGGCCAGATTTCGTACGTAATCGCACCACGGCAGCAGATGCACTGCAGCTGGATGTGGAGATGGAGATTGAGTTGGAAAAGAAAATGGAGCTAGAGCTGGTGTCTTAATTGAAGAACCTACCGAGAGGGGACTACATACATTCATGAGCCACGGAGGTAAATTAAGTTTTAATAACTTGACTGGGTAGGGTAATGATTAGAAAGAAAAACACTTTAGCCTTTTATTAATTCATATAAAAAGTCAAACGTGGGCTAGGTAAAACTTATTCAAATTAAATTCAATCACAATAAAGTTATGAAATCTTAGATTGAAGTTTATTCTACGGGACTTCTTAACATTCAATAAAATATGAAATAATGAAATTCCAAATATTTTAAATGTATCAAAGTTAAATAAAGACTGCAAAAAGAAACTAATTTTGAAGACTTATTTAACCAACAAGAAGCTGATTTAAAATAATTTTCGCCATTAGCCAAAAACTTTACTGAAGAAAATAAATACTATCTGTGATTCAGAGTTCAATAGTACTTACATTCAGTTAAAAAAAAAAAACTTAAACATTTTTTAAAATTTAGTGTTTTTAGCAACCTAGAAATGTAAATGTTGGCAGCACAAAGAAATTTTAATAAAACATATCATTAGACAAATTATTTTATTTAAATTATGTTTATTTTGAATGGTAATGAAAATCGAACACCTCCACATTCAACCTTTAATTTGAATTTTCAAAAATAACGGATTTCCTAGAGATGACACTGTTAGACATCGATAAGAATATTTACTCCACCAATACATCGCTTACTTGCTCCTAAATAAAGCCGTTTACCCATACGGTCACACTATTGCTACATTGATAAATTGGTCATTTTGGACCGAATTTAGTTAACATTAAATTTAAAGAAAACAACCTACTTTAAGATGCGCACAGTGCTGTTGAGCAAATCGGATGAGCTGTACCTGGAGAAATGCGCACAGGAGAACCAGTTCTCGTACGGGATAATCGTGGGCCATGTAAGTGCCATATCCGCCACGTCGATTTGTTTGGTTCCCCCGCTCAACTATATCTCTATATCCCCTTGTGATCCCATTCGATTTGGGTTCGATAGCAAGCGGACTTGACCAAAAGCGTCGTGGTCCACCTGGCCAGGAACAACGAGGAGGATGGCGATGTGGAGGACCTCGCAGACGTACGCCTCAGTATCTCGGACATCAACTCACAGGCGTTGGCTTCCCAGTGGCTGAGCGCCAGCAAAATGTGTCCCGGATCCTTTGACGTCATCGGTGGGTTTGCGTGCTGACCCCGGGAATTTTATCTGCCCCACCCAGAAGTCGTAGAATGCCAGGGAATATTATTTATGAGATTTACTTAAAAGATAGCAGGAGGTGTTCTAGAAACCATATAGTACATGTCGCTTGCTCACACAAGTCGCGTCATAACTATAAATCGAAAATGCAGGGCTAATTAATATAGATTGATCGGGAAACGGCTTAGGAACTGAGAGTAGAGAGCATTAAAGTACTCAAAATTATAAACATTTGTAACAAGAATATCTTAAATTGAAAATCTCAATAATATAAAAAGATTCCTAATATATCCTGATATTTGTAATATAATAATAGGTTCTACTTATTCAGATTTTTACTAAGCACTGCTTCACACCATAAATCTCATCAATAATCCAATAGTTAAAGATGTTAGAATTTTCAAATAAATTTTTGTGGTAAAACATTTGAAACTGATTTGACTTTATAGATTTTTTTATTAAAAAAAAGCCTTAGGAACACTTAAAAGCATGCAACAAATCTTAATTGATTGTTAATCAATTTTTCTTTACAGGAATTTTTGTATCTTCAGTGAGATCCGATGTGGTCAATGAGCAGAGTCCCGAGTTTAAAAACGCCAAAAAGTTGTTCTCAGATATCTACGAGTAAGTCGTTTGAAATATATAACCCAGATAAATCCTAAATGACATATTTATCCATAATTCAGCTTACTATTGAAAAGCAGCAGCTCGTTTGGCGTCTACACCACCGATATTGCACAGACTGATTTCGTATTCCTCTCGTATTCGCTGGCCGACAAGAAAGTGCTCTGCAAAAACTACAGCTATGGAAAGTGAGTATCGCAATCGTAACCCCTGATCACAGATACGGGTCTCACTGTGTATTCTTTCTTTCACCAAACGAATCGCTTACAATTTAAAACTAGACATTGCAAAAAAACGTATTTTACGGCAAACATAAAATGCATCATATGGTAACTAACAAGTTGAGAACTACTTTCATAACTTATTCTGTTCAATGTCAATTAACCACTTCCTTTGCTTTACGTTTACTTATTTCTTGGAATGCATTTTATGTGTTAGTTAACCTTTAGGATTGTTAATGTGTATATGGTAGTTTGATTGTTCTCAAGCTGTTTTGTTTTAACAGAAAATAAAGATGTGCATTTCTTTTGACAGCGGTGGCACTTTCTCCAACATGGAGCACAGATTTGTGGACAAGCCATTCGAGTGGATTCAGCTGGAGTGCAGCTACGATCTGGACGACGTGCTGCCCATATTGGATTCATCGCGACGCGTCAACATCGAAGATCAGTTCCAGAATGTAATAGTCTCGGTGCGCAAAAACCTGCTGGCCAGTGAGGTATTCCTGCAGAACGAGTTGGTCGAGGACACCATCGATCTGCAGGCCTATATCAAAAAGAAAAAGACCAAAGTGGACAAGCTAAAGCCCACGTCGACGAGTGGTGCGTCAACCTCGGCCGTCAGCAATGCCACGGATTCCCTGCCCCAGCTCGCCTCGGATGGGGCAATCGGTGGTGGTGACCCCATCCGGGCCAGCATCGTGCTGCCGGTGAAATGCCAGCTGAGCAAACCGACGGACATCAAGGTGCGCGAGTTCAATGGAACACTGCGCATGAGCGGCATCATTGCCACCAAGGTCTTCTGCAGTCCCCGAAACAGTATAGCTGATGTGAAGCGTTTCCTGCGCGACGATGTGTTGCGCTCCCTGATCACACGTATTCAAGTCTACTGCGACGGCCTCACGGATCCATATGTGACCAATGAGGCATTGTACATCAGTGAGCCACCCCGGCGGGTGTTCTTCAGTCTGCCTTCTGAGGGAACCAGCAGCTCGACCGGCGCAGTGGTGCAGTTCTCCGAGTACTTATTCCGTGGCGAAGCTCCCACTGTGGTGGTGGCCCAGGCCAAACAGATTCTGGACGTAGAGCTGGACCCAGAGACCATTTCCGTGGAGGCCGAAGGACTGCCGGATGACTCGAATGCGGGCAACGATCGCACGGACGATTCCCGCATCATGCCCAGTTCGATGCCAAAGCCAGAACTCTCACGCAGCCTCTACATGGTGGGAATCGCGGTGGCCCTGCTGGTTCTCCTGGCGTCCGTAGCCCTGCACTATGTTCTAAGCGAAGGATAAGCCACTTGGACGCCCATCTATCTGTTGGGGCTTCTATGTCCAAACCACTCTTGTAGCTCTTTATACGAAATGTTTTTATACAGATACATTATTTGCATGTGTGCCCACGCACTCACCTCTCTATTGTGATCGTTTGTTTTTATAATCCATTGTGTACTCGTAGTAGTAAAAAAAGAAAGTGTATAGGGATCACGTTAAATAGTTTTATTGTGGAAGCAAAACTGTGCAGCATTTAACACCAATATAATAAACTAATAAGTAATGTACATATCTGTGAATCTTTGGTACGCCTATCAGGAAAGAGTCCTTTGCTAAGTAATGTTACTCCAATTTTATATATTAATTTTGGGCCTAGTTCGATACTTTTTTATTCATTTTATGCTTCGATCTGAGTATTTTAGGTTTTAATTTGCAGATGCTAGCTATTTCAATTGACGAATTTTGCGAATCAACCTGTTGAGTTGAAACTTTCATTATTTACAGTTCTTATGGCCTTAATTTTTTCATTCAGCTTTATACAAAAAGTTATGTTACGATAAGGTTGTATTCTTTTTTTACAGGCCATTTCAGATTTCTGTCTGTTCTTAAGAAAATATTAAATTTATTTAACTTATAAAAGAATTGATGATTAATATAATTTTTTAACATATAACATGTAAAATTAAGTTATGTACATTAGAACAGGCTTAAACCAAAAAAGCCACCTCAGCGTGAGTTAGAATTTTAATTAGTAGGTGCTTTTTTTAAAGATTTAATTACATAAATATTTGGTTGTCTACATTTACAATCGACTTTGTTCCATTTTAACTTCTAGTTATTTAGCTTTAGGATCGTAAAATGAGCACATTTGAATTGTGACATGGTGATCAAGCGAAGATTTCTCTTACGGATCGGACACTTAAAGTGTAAATTAGATTTTCACAGCCTCTGCAACTTGACGGACTCAAATCCGCCACTACTAAGTACCCACCGACATGCAACTACATCTGGCAGTTGCCATTGCAGTTGACCACCGACCACACCCAGTCCACGTAATTAGGCACCTTGGCGTAGATGCCAAATTTATTCCGCTGGGCACATCCATCACCGAACGAGGTGATCCCGAAGATGGTCCACGGATGGTTGGGTTTCGTGGTGTCGCGACACAGAAGTGGACCTCCCGAATCTCCGGCACAGGTGTCGATGTGACCCTTCTGATGCCCGGCACAAAACATGTTCTGTAAGATATAGTTTAGATTTAAGTTATTGCGTGCACTCCAAAAAGTGCGGTTACGCCCATAAGTACCTTTGTGATGGTGTAGTCGTAGTAAACCTTGCGGCAATTGTGCATCGGTATAATGGGCACGGTGGCCTTGTGGAGCACACTGGTTCCAGTGGCGTCCCGGTTGCGCCGCTTTCCCCATCCAATTATCGTGCAATCCATGTTCTTGGGCAGCGCCTGGAAAGGCTGCGGCAGGCAGGAGTATCCAATCCAAGTGGTGGCATTAACAGCCTTGGGTAATCTGCAGAAAATAGTCAATATAAGTCAGCGTTTAAAATTTGTAATAATTTTTGCAACCGTTATTAGTAGAGCGAAAATGAATATTGTATATTGTATATGCGTTTCCGACCCTACAAAGTATATATACACTCTTGTTAGGGATCAATAGCCAACTCGATTTAGCCACCTTGCCCACAAATCGCAAAAGACTGTTGAGTCAAATTTCAGACATGATAGACGACAGTTATTGAGCTCTATATGTTTCATTGGTCAATATCGATCAACCCATTTAAAAATGTAACCAATATTTTAGAAGTTATAAGCATAAATTAAAATTGACCGGTAGCTGGCGCCACCTCAGACCCAATTGGTTAGCTGATTAACTGGTATCTAATAGTCATTATAACCCACCTGAGCAGTGCCACATCGCTATCCACCGTACGCTTATCGAAGTTGGGATGTGTAAAGCTCTTCATCACCCTGAGCTGCACCTCCGTGCCATCCTCATAGTTAAGGTTGTGTTCTCCTGTCAGGAGATAGAAATGTGTATATAACTTCCAATTTTGATATTTAGATTTCCCATTAATCTCACCTATGCGAACATAGAGCACCTTTCGCACACAATGGGCGGCGGTGAGAACCCATCTTGGAGCAATGAGAGTACCACCGCAGAAGGCTTCCTTGAAGCGATTCAGGATGGCCACCTGCCATGGCCACTCCCCCTTCCTCGCCGCCCGTCCTCCGATGATCTTCAGCATGTTGGACATGCTCCTTCGTCCAGTACCACTTCGAACTATGCCGCAGTTCAGTTTCAGAGGGGTGTATTCCTTTCCACGATAGCCCTTTCCCGTCATAATGTAGTTCAGGTCATTCATGGACACTTCCGGCTGCTCGGACTGCATCCTACGCATGGCATTGGCCGGGGATCCGGATCCGGGTCTGGTCTCGAAGGCTGGTGTCTTCTGGAACTGCGTCTGCAGCCACTGCTGGCAGAAGCTGCCTTCCGTGTAGCAGTAGGCGATCTCCCGCAGAACCTCCCTTCCACATTGATCGCTGATCCGGCATTTTCTGCAGGTTAAAAATGATTTAATTAGCGACTTTATTGTTTAAAGAACATGATGCACTTTAATTGCATTAAAATCTGACTTTATTAAGGCACTTTTGGCTAATGCTTTTTAAGAAAGAAAATTCTTTGATCTATATAGCTTTCTTTGTGTTCTGGGAAAATGCACAATTACGGAAATTTTGAGATTTCATTAAATGCAATTCTTTAGAAATTATAAAGAGTAAATAAAAATCATTCAAAAATATTAAACTGACTAATTAGTTCTTGTACAGATAAATTTAAAAAAAAATATATATATTTTATATAATTAAATCTGACAGCTGAATTCTTGTTGATTTTAAGTTAATAGAATATTAATATGCTCATTTCAACTTACTCATGCATGTATTTCAATATTCAAATCATGCAATAAGTATAATTATTTTATTAACTTTTTTTTTACAACTTACTTATATCTCCTGGTTGTGCACTTTGGCGAACATTTGGTCCATCGACTCCATTTGGAATACACCCTCCGTCGTCTGAGAACTAATCCATCCTTTGGTGGCTGCACCCAGCTGATATTGCGGAATTCGGTGTCTGATTCCTCTGAATCCGCGTAGATGGTCTCAGGCTCTAGATCGAAATCCTCGTACTGGAAAACATCACCCTCCACACTGGTGTCCTCGCCCAAATTTCTGGGTTTCAGTGGCCTTCTTTCGCTGAAGTCCACAAAGTCATCGTCATCATAGTCCTCCCTTGAGGGTTTTCTGTGGGATGGCTTTCTATGGTTCTGTCGTCTTCTGTGACGATGATGTTTGAGCACAAAGAAGTCACCCTGCTCGTCGGAGCTAATGGAATCTTCTTCAGCTTCATCCTCCACTTCCTCCTCGACGTACATATCCTTGCCGGGATAACGAGGCGTATGACGAATATCATCCACGAATTTCGGATAGGACGTGGGATGAGGAGTTGGTGGAGTAGTTGGAGGAGGAGTTGGAGGAGGAGTTGGTGGTTGAGTTGGTGGATGAGCGGGAGGATGAGTGGGAGGATAAGTAGGTGCATAAATTGGGGGGTGTGTTGGTGGATAAGTTTGTACCGAAATCGGTGGCGGTTTGTACTGAGTATATCTATAATCCACGGTGGGACCACTTGACGCCGCAGCTGCTGCATTTATGATTATCGATGGGGGTGGTGGCGGTGGTAATTGAGGCTGTGGTGGTGGTGGTGGTTGCGGCTGTGGCTGGTTTCTCTCGCGGATGTGGCTATCGTCCAAAATAACCGTCTGTTGCCACTTTATAGGTGGCGCAGGATGACAACTATTAAATAGAAACACACACTTTAGTTTGCTATTTTAAAAATCGAGTTCCCTAAAGTCATAATTTTTCAGGTAAATGCTAGCCAGTGTATTGGGAGACGCTGCCCAAAATTTGAGCTCGTTAAGAATAAACAAACTTATAAAAAAACATGGCCTAAAAAGTGTTCTTAATATTTGTGTGAACTAATGCTAAGAATAGACACACTTGTAAATGCACATGTACTTTTGTGCTAAATAGATTTAAAAATAAGTCAATAAATGAATATTTAATTTTTGCCAGACGAAATTGTGTAGAAACATTTCCACAAAATAAGTTTAAGTGTTTGAACAAAATGTAATATCATTTTTAGTTATATTGTTTTATGATTGTTTACCTATCTAGTAAAAAAGTAATTTATTTTTAATGTCTTCATGACATATGTTTATTTAATGATTTAAACAAATAAAAATCATTTATTTTTGCACATGGAAAGCAAAGCGCTTAATTTAGGCGTTTTAGTTAAAAAAAATTTTAATTCTGTGAACTAATGTGGTAAAACTAGATTTATATTAATAAAATGAATGTAAACTTGAACTTCCACACCTTGTAGTTTTTATTAGAAAAACAGGCGTTTTGGGAAATGAAGAGACTAAATAAAATCACTTGAAAGAGCTTGAAAATTTGACTGTCATCGTATTATGTTTTATATTATAATTTATTTATAATCATTTATTATACTTACTGCCGGCACTTGCTCTGCTCCACGTGCTTGGTGTGGCCGCACTTGCGCTTCACCTTGCAGAACCGTTCCCGCCGCTTGACGCACTCCTCGTCGCATGGAGACCACTGTGACCACCGGCTGAAGGGCTGGTGGTGATTGAGCGATCTCCGCCGCCCACTCCATCGTTCGTGCTGTGGCACTCGCAAGCGGTGCACCCGCCGCCCGTCCACCCAATGCGAACCGTGATACTGATGCGGATGGTGATGATGATGATGGTGCCGATGGTGACCCATCGCGTCCCTTATCTCTCTCTTCGCCTCCTGGACATGACCAGTCTGAAAGAATGGGAAGCACACGTAAGTGATGCGGTTTAGAGTTTCCCTTTTTTTTACGGGTCGACTGTGTGACATGCGATCTGCGTCCTCAAGGAGCCCTGTTTTCCTGCCTCTCCCTCCACCCTCCACTATAAATCAGACATGTCGCCGCTTTTTATTTGAAGTGTCATTGCTCTCGACAGTTTCGTGTCTGCGTTCGTATTGTGATCCCCGAGGAAAGTACCATGGTACACCATCCATTATGCGGCTCGGTCGGATCGGTCCCAGCTCCAGTTCCAAATGCGACGCCAGGCGACGCGTCGCCGCACTATAAATAACTCACGCTTTTCGCCGACCGATCCGGCGGATCCCTATCCCTGCATCCGTCCCAGTCTAAAATAGGCTTCGACGTCTGTCGAGGACCGACCACCAATTGCCATAACCTCTTCACCAACGCCCTGCAGCTGCAAGAGCCCATAAAACTGGACATTTTCCGGTATAGGAAGTAGAGTAGTACTGACGCTCAGAGCTAAGTCAATCATGCAAATGGGCCAAGTCATACAAAGATTAAATGTCATACATTTACTTATATTTTCCTAGAACGCGATCATGATTCATTTTGAGCTGTACGCAAGTAATGAGTAATAGATATTTAACTCTTTAATTAAGAAAAACCAAGCAAATAGAAGAAAAGTTTTAAAATCAATCCTAAAATTTCATTAATATGTATGTTCCTAACATTTTTATAAAAGACAAAGAGGAAGGGTAGACATGTCTTCAGGAATTTTATGAAACCAATTTAAGTACCTGGTTTGCCTGGTGTCGGTTTTAAAGTCATTCTGACCTTAGAAAGAGATTCGAAATGAACGACAGGTCCAAAAAGTTTTATTAGTTCAATGACTCGTTTTCAAATTCTTGGCGTCATTTACTTAATAAAAACAAAAACCGGTACTCATATTTGGTAATCCAACAACAAAATAGATCATTTATGCTGCTACTAAATTCTTTCACTTAATTTTCGGAATTTTTTTTTTTAAATGTTTTAGACAAAACAGGAAACTATTATCATTCAGCTGAGACAACCAGATGTTCTAGGTAATCAAGAGATTTGTTTTTCAGCCTATTAGTGAATTAATTGTGTCGCTGAATTATTTAAATGACCAGGTTTACAGCTTAAATTAGTGGGAATAAATAAACCAACACAATCGATGATTTAGAGCGTATTTGGCACACAAGCTCTGCATAATGAGGTGCCAATAAATCGGCTAGTATTGAATGCCTCACTTGAAATCAGACGTAGGTCATGGCAAATCGGAAAATTCAAAAATGGAAAACCGAAACATTCCCATCAAATCATGCGGAAATACGAACCGCTCTGCACCTCAAGCTCAAGGTAAACTATGTATATTACCTATCCTATGGAGAACCCCCTCAACTCAACAATGAAAAAAAAAAAACGAGAGTGCGACTAATTTGGTCGCGGTAATTGACCTTGCATTCGTAAATAGTTCGCAGTTCCCAATCCAACCCAATCCAATCCAACCAAATCGAATTGCTGCGGGTTGACGTAATGCGGTTTCGACAAGTGGGTGGGCAATCGATCGATCCATCCATACACTCACCTGAGTTTCGACCAGCAGTAGTTGTACCACTGTCAGGAATTCGAAAATCAAGCACACCACTTTCATGCTCAATTGCTTATGGTCCCGTTGTCGTTCGAAAACCGATCGGTAATACCACCGTACCGAATCCGTGTAGCCAAAGACCCTGACAAATGCACTGTAAATAGAAATAAAATGTGGCGTAAGTGGAGAATGATTGGATTGACAAACGTATTTGGGTGTTCCAGAAGCCTATTGTATTTAGTCTTGAAATGTTTTAAATTAAAAAAAAAAAAATGAGTATGAACCACTCTCAAAACCTTAAAGAAAAACTGTTTACGATTCGCAATTCATTGAAGATTTTATTTCGTAAATTTCGGACTTAAGTTCCTTATCTACACAAACAATATTTTTTATTTCATAAATTTATTTTGCAAAACAAATAGTGAATCATACTTTTCTTATCAGTTTAAAAATTCTATAAAATAGAAAATAAATATTTTTAACTCTAGAAAAAAAATGCTAAAATAGAGTTAAGAACAAAGGTATTATAAGATTATAAAGTAAAATTTAATTATTTTAGAATGCCACAATTTAAAAGTATTCCTTTAAGCCAGAAAGGCTTCCCCGAGAGGATTACTTAACATAGCAACCATCAAATTCCTCTTCACCCTGAGACAAGCCAATTAAATTATATAATTCGCCCACAAGCAGACGTACTTGAACCTGTACTTGTTTTGTGCTTTTGAGTGCCTAATTTACCCTGACTAAGCGACTCATTTGCGTCAAAGTACAATCATCCAAAAACATAAAGAGCCGCCACCCACGCACTGCACAATCAAACGATGCCAATGCCGATGGTGAATATAGTGAATATAGTGAATCTGGTAGATCTGGTGAATCTGTGCCCGTTCTTCCGACTCCCTATCGTTGCGGCCGCCTTTTTGCCAACTACAAAGCAAATATTTGAACTTGTCTGAGACCTTAGCCCAAAGCGATCAAAAGCGTGGGCAAAAAAAAAAAGAAAAAGTGAAATTAATTAGCTACATACCCGTACATGTAATTACAAACAGAGAAGTGCTGGCTGGCAGAACGAAAATTGGAAACATAAAGATAAACTATATGGTTTCTTTTTTTTGTCGGGATGCCGAGTGCTTTTGATGCTATGCTTCTGCATAAGTGGGTATGTATGAAAGGTCTGGTCTTATATTCTGCTTTCAAACTGCACTGAGGAATTTTAAGTAGTCCCAGAAGAGAGACTGGGCAATGGAACACAAGTACGTGTACTTCGGACTTACGTCAACACTGTAACTTGGCCACATCCAGATACGCAGATCCAGATACAGATACCCAGACACCCAAGTATCTCCCAACTACCCCCATTAACCAATGATCATATAAGGTCAGATGCACCGGAGCAGGCTGCCAGTTGAGTGCATTGCACATTCGCCAATCTGGTTATTCCAAATGACCAAATTCGACACTGCCATCCTGACCAGGTTTCCGCCAAATTGGCCATTTGTATTCCGCGCTAAATTCCAATAAGCCTCGGTGCAACAATAAAGCAAAAAACACAAACACAAACACACAAAACCCAAGTCCCGGGTGTACCAATCACTCGCTGTGATTTATTTACAATGTGAATCCAGCGCCCACTAAACAAACATACGGATATATTCAATTTTATAAGCATCCAATATTGGGTAACTCGCGATGCGTGAAGAATGTTTTCGACGGTTTGATGGAAATAAAATTCCACAACAAACAAACCACTAGAAAACTATTTTAACACACCTGACGACACATGATTTATACATTATACTTTTGAGTCGGAAGTTTCCCCACCAAAATCTATGTGACATCACCCACTGTTATACATTAATGATTTATACAATACTTCCCAAAACTATGCCTGGAAAAAACTGAATTCCCTTGATGATAACCTTAGGTTTGGATGCACATTACTTCTATAAATATGTGTGGAAACTACTATCTCTTGCACTGAGCTAAAAGTAATGAAAATATAAGTGAAATTAAGGTGGTATTAGGCTTGACATGAATTACTAAAATGCAATCTATTTATATATATTTTAAGGGCTTTTAAAAAATATTTGTAGAGCATTTTATTGGTGTTACCTACCCAAAAATAAAGTAGGTTTAAATAAAATTGAGTTGAGGTATTTAAAATACAGGATAATCGAATAATATAATATTTTTTAAAGATTATTAAAAGTTATGTTTATTCAATATAAATATTTTAAAAACTCTTCCCTATCTCACTTCCTCTATTTGTTTGCTTACGCAGTTTTTGAGTTTATCAATCAAAATGTTTCATATTTCAATAACTTTTGCAAATTCTAGTTGCTTTAGGGAGTAATATGACCCAAAAGAAAAATAAAAATTAAAGATTTTTGTTTGGTACTTCATCCCTTTTGTTATTTTTGCTGATATAGCTTGAATGTTCGGGTTGAAAAACCACTAAAATGTCCACCCCAGCGTTCAAACAAAATATTTATGTACATTTGTGTGTACTTCGAGCGACGCTGCGTCTTAATTTAGAATGCGATGCGTCCGCATAGCAAACAGAGCAGCAACAACCTCCGGATCCGTACCGCTCCCATACCGCTACCGTCTCCCCAATCCAAAACGATTCGTTCCGTGTAAACAAACCGCAGCAGTAGCTGCTGCCCCGCCCACCGCCCACGCCCCCGTACCGCTTTACCTTGACAAAGTGCGATTAAAAATCAACTATGACGGGCAGCGTCATAATTGCGAGCCTCATAAATATCATAATATTTCCCAGATGGCGGCGTATCCAGTGACCAGTTTATTAAATTCCTTCAGGTGAGTAAGTGTACTCATAGTCGTGTTTACCAGTTCCGCAAAAATTAGATGGATCGCCCACTGCCCACGTCTGCTCCGCATGTGGTCGATCTATTTTTCCCACTTTTTATTTGGGCTTAAGTTGCTGCTGCGTAGACCGGCGCAATTTTTATGAATGAAAATGTACAAATTTGGATTTGGCCAGCCGCTTATCGACACTTAAGTTCCCGGCACAAAGAAAAAATGCTCATAAAATCAATGGCTTTCCTTAGTGACTCATAAATGCTTAGATTGTTTTAAAACTAAATTTGTTTATTTGAAAAATATAAATATATTTTACAAAATATAAATATATTTTCCAAATAACGAAATCTAGTATATAAACGCTTTTAAAAATGTATACAAAAATATTATTGTGCTTATAGAAGAATTCCCCATAAAAAAACTAGTAAGAATATAATATGATATATATAAATCTTCTTAATCATATTTATCTTGCATTTTTCCTTAATCACCCGGTGCCTTAAAATAATTGTAATCATTTGACAACTAGTGTTAACTAGTATTAAGCACGTTAAAATATAAATAAAAATGATTTCATGGAGTTAATTGCACAAGTAAGAAGATTATTAAGGTACGTGTACATTTCCTTGGTTTTATGTTTATATTTGTTTTGATTACTAATAAAATGCTAAGTTATCTCAATAACCTTTAACAAGTTTAACGCATTTTGCAAAATATTTACTGAGATAAGCTAGAGGGTCTTGAAAGTTAAGATACAAATTGTTTTGTTATTCTTTAAATAATTATGTGTTCAACACCAAAAAATCTGGATCCTAATATAAAACTTAAATGATTTTTGTTCGGTGCATTTAGCTGATTTATATGTTGTTTTGGCCTGTTGGCCGGCTAGCCACAATGTCTGGTATGGCCAATCAACGGTCGTTGTGTGTGTTGCATGTCCGCGGGCCCGTTTAGCCAAATGCAATTTTAATGACGTGACCAGCTACTAAAAAACCAAATCGCTGCCTTCGGGTTCGCTTCTCGGTCTTTTCGGCTTTTGTTTTTCCTATTTATCTGCCGACTAAGTGGGCAGCTCGTGGGCAGTATTGGGCAGTATTGGGCATTTTGGTATTGTCTACGGATTCGGGCTGGCTTAATTTATTAGTTGGCCTTTTGTAATCGGCTACGCATTAAATTCGTCGCTGTGCGACATCAGCCACATGAGTATTAGCGGAAGTGTTGGAAATAAATCATGCTTCGCATCCACGCACACTGGGGCACGAATGCACAATTCATCGACATCGATGGCATCGCAAAGACGCCGACGAGATGCCTCCTCCGACACCCCACAACCACATCCCAGCATCCCCAGAGATTCGGCATCCGATCATCCGGGCACCGCATCCACATCCACGCACCCATGGATATCCACTTCCCCACCGCACCACCAGGGCACCCAATTTTCCACAGATGAATTAAATGCATTTTAAACACATATGCACCAACAGATGGGGTCATAATAATAGCAGTAACGCCTTATAGATTATAAGATTGATTAAACTAATTTTTGAACGGGTGAACTGGTCATTGGACCAGTCCACATAGATCATATTTAAAGTTTAAGTTTTACTTTAGGTATAGTTGAAAAAGCCCAATTTATTTAAAATATATAAATATTTTTAATTTGTCATGTTCACACAGCACATACATGTTTTCAAACGTGTTTCAAATATTCTTTAAAAATTCCAAAAACAAAATTCTAATCAAAATATGTATACCTTTCAAATTATTTATTTCCCAGAAAACGAAATATTTCAACCACAAAATATCTTCTTGAAAACTAAATGTTCCAAAAAGATAAATTTGGACCAAAGTGTAATTAATTATGGGGAAATGAAATTTTTCTTGGGCACTACCATAGAACACAACTATTTTGATGGAATCTGTATGATATCCCCTGAAAGATTCATTTGATATTTGTCTTTAAAAACATCGTCAAGTAATAGCTATAAAATGCAGCATATTGATATTATTTTGACTGCATCTGTGAAATAGCATGCGTGCAGATCCAAACACATCTGCGTTCATGGGTGCCTATGTGAACGCGGATTGTTTTCATGAATGAAACATTTTTTATTCCATTTATCACTTGGCACCATGTCTCCTTCAGCTGCACTTCGATTAGCGACTTGGGGGCATTTGGGGAGAACCGATCGACATCAAGCGACGCACTTTGCATATAAACACGGATAACAGGCCAATTCGATTGATTTTACGACTTTAATATTGAACTGTCAACCGTTTAGCATTAACTATACACAACGATTACCTGGTTGGCACCTCTGAGTCGTTTCGTTTTGGGGTTGTTTTCTTTCGAAAATGTTTCAAAAGCAGTTTCGCGCACACATATTGGAGCAATTTTATTTTTACATTGGAGAACCAGACGCACAGAAGCATAAACCACGTCGGATGTCGCCTTGCAAACTCCACTGCGCGATGGCAACGTAAACAACCGATCCGAACCGATCCGCTTCCTATCCGCTCCGTTCCTGGCCGATCCAATCCGTTCAGATCCGATCCAACCGACGTCTTCTCGAGAACTGAGACCGCAACTGAAACTAAAACTGAGCGAAACGCCAACGCTCCGCGGCGAGCTGAAAAACGTCGCGTTTGCCGTTGACTTTTTCCACACACATGTTGGCCGTGCACAGTGGACTGGAACCGGGTGAAAAATGTACGGATCGCTGCGAAAATCCCAGGCAGACGCACAAATGGTTGCAGCATTTCTGCGAACTACGAGTGAAGCGAGGCTGCTAATACACCTGGGAAAAACTAGTCTTAGAAACCTTAAGAACCATAAAAAAAGAAAAAAATATAGCAACTGTCATCTAACAGTACATGAAAAGTAATTGAAAACGTTAAGCTCTAACTCAAAACTGGATTTTTAGTATTTCCTTTTTCATTTTAAAAATGTATTTATACTCCCCAACATTTTTAATGAACAGCTCTAAAAAATAAAGCTCGTTTATTTAAATATATAAAACTATCCCGAAAAGTAACTACAAAAATGTTCATTGCCAAAAATCTTCTAATCTAAAAATTCACTTATGTTTTTCTAATTTCTCAATTTCCTAAAACAAAATCTATATTTCAGAGAATTTTAATAAAACGTCGTTTTTCTAGACCCTGTTTAAATAGTTAAATACCAACGTTATCCTGGAGTTTCTCTGAATTTTTCTTGAAGTTTCAATTAGCCATTACTACGTTTTAACAATATATTACCAATTTTAAACTAAACTAATGCTAAAAATTGAAAAGAAGAAGAGATTTTTCTCAGTATGGCTACTGCCATTACAGAGTGGGCAGTAAACCAAGTGTTACACACCACAGACGTTGAAATGAGCCAAACTTTCCCAAAGAAGCATTTTACAATTCGCAATTAAATATAATATTTTTACGATCGAAACGCAAATACATATTTGAAAGATGCACAAGGGAATTTTGATATGAATTAACTTAGGATTTTTGCTATTTACAATTGTCTGGAAATAACTTCGAGTTTGAATTAGTGGTAGCAGTGCCAGGCGGCCACCCGATGACCAGGCGGAGATTCCCGGATAAGGCGCATCTGCTCGGAGCCCGTATCACCCGCTTGATCTCCGCCGATGATAACCGTGCCCAGGACCAGTTTCTTGCCCATCTTCTTGGTGGCCAATGTGATTCGCAGAACAATGTTCTGCAACTGATCGAGCCTCTGGAGCGGAATGTCAATCGTTCCCTCGCCGGAACCATCGTCCCATTTGGTTGAGAGTGAGGGAAAGAAGACGGGCGACTTCCACGCGTCTATGTAGATGCCGTGCTCGAAGGCCGTGGTCTTCACATAGACCCCGGAGCTCGCCGTGGCCTCCAGTTCGTCCTTGACCTTGTTGGAGCATCGCATCCGCGTCGTGGTCACTCGGAGCAAGTATCTGCCGGAGTCGGAGTTTCCGACATTGCTGATGCCCATTTTCCGCTTCACTTCTGCCGTCATCCTTTGCCAATTGTTGGTCGAGTGGGTGGAAGATGGAGTGGGCGAGGTGGGCGTGTTCGAGGGCGTTGAGGGAGGCATCGTTGTGTCCACAGGCGACTCGCATTCGAGAAGATCGCGAACCTCAAGGGCCAGCTCGATCACACCTTTGGCGGAGTTAACGAACTAAATAATATAAGAAGAGATAACAATTCGAAAAAATATAATTACTATTGAAATATAAATTCATTAGTGAAATATAACATAAAATTAAAAAAAAGTAATTTTTTAGAACCACTTTTTTGATTATTCGAACATTTGTTTTAAAATTTCCTGTTAAAGTAAAGCTCTAAAAACATTTCAGAACTATAAGTCTAAAATGTGTTAATAACTATACTTTGATGAACTGCACTTACAAAATTTGTCTTTTATTTACAGCTTTTACGATCAGTTACTTTTTATCAATAATTGAATTTCGTAAGCGAAATGTTATTTACTTTATGCTGACGGTAAGGGACTCGATATGCTTCCCATTTTGGCTTAAAAAGCTATACCTTCTAAGGTATGTCAACAAATTGAAACCGCATTGGCATGATAAGATAAATGTTAAATTGACCTATACTGAAAACTAGTTCAAACATTTATATTGCAAACAGATATCGAAACCACTTTTTAGATTGACACTAAGTTAGGGGAAAACTCATGAGGGTTGACTTTCAATTCATTATTTCCGGAATAATATTGACTCACTTGCACATTAATTTTTTTTTTTTTGGTTGCAATTAAAAAATTTGCTTTCATTTAAATGTTTAGTGCTTATGTTGTTGCTGCGTTTTTCCCGCCCAAGCGGGAAGCTTTCACTTTGTACAATTAAAGCGCACACATCTCCATTACATTTGAAAACACTCGGAGTGCCCATGTCGCATTGTTTTGTAACACCAAGTTCGGGTGAACTTGTTTAGCAATACTCTGGGTCAGGTACACATGCATGTTTTTCCTACTCACATTGTTGTTGCTGGGTGACGACTTGGCCACCGTTGTGGTGATATCTTTTATAGGCAGCCACAGCTCTTCCGTCGAATAGTTCCCCGTTCTACTGTTGTGTTCGAACAGCTTGGATTCCAGGTAGCAGGTTACGGATCCTAAAAGGAAAAGATACAGATACTTTTGAAAAGATAATACATTTTCGAACATGGTTTAATTTTATCAGATTTTATGTGTAGACTAGGATTTATAAAAAAGTCTAAAATTTACAGATTGTAACAATTTATGGAAATTAAATATTCATATTTTGTTAGTTAGCAACATAAATTAACTTACAAAGGGAGTGTTTTTTATTAAAGATCATTTTTAAGGTTCATTATCTCGACTTTATGATAAGCCACATAAAAGTTTTTAGCTGCAGTGTTTTATAAGTTTTACAATTTTATAAATATCAAAAAATTAGGACAGCTGGAATGTTGTCGAAAAGTATGCAGTAAAAAGTACGAAATACTTGAGCAAAATCCACCTTCACACCTTTAGAATTATTGTTAAATCTTACGAACTTTCTCTGTGTCTATAACTCTAATTTATTTAGTCATAATTACCAATATTCCTGCGGGATTCACTTATTGTCAATGGTGGCATTGCATCCCGCGCACTCTCAGCCTTTTTCTTTCCTTTACCCTGATCATTTGTCTTCCCTCCGTTTTCAGTCTTAGTCTCATTTTGAATATTTGCAGTTGGATCCACGAAACGTTGGACAAAGCTGGTGCTCCTGTCTTTTAGCGAGCGGTATGTCTTGTTAAAGCGATTAAAGTTCTGGTAAGAAAGGAATTTAATCCACGTTTAGGAGGTTTGTCTGACCAACTTACTGCGGCCGGAAGTTCCAATAAGGCGTAGACCGTAAAAACCACAAATTGTCCGGAGAAGAGCTGTTCTGGCTCAGGATCGGAGCTATTCGTCTGACCATTTGCTGCGCGTCGAGTAACATGCTTCATGGAGGATCTATTCAATTACCGTTTTGGAATAATAAAAACGCAATACTGTCATCGCTTAATGTGTCACACATACTTGATATCTGGCACCAGTGGAAATTTGAAATTTTCATTGAACTTCGGCCACGTGTTTGTCTGAATAGTGCTATCCAAACGTTTCGTTCCGGGAAATAGCTTTACCTTTAATGAAGGAGGAGGAGAATAATCAGAAATAGATAAAACTAATAAACATAATTTTGTGTGCGTTTCAGGGTCTTTGGGAAGTCGCCTTGGCAAGGCGCTAAAAAATTATGTGTCTAACAAATAACAAAATAAATTGAGTTCAAAAATTCTTTGAAATTTTGATATTTATTTGATTGATTATTTATTTGGCAACATCTGGAGTTTTTTATTTTAAATAAACATTTTTCGATAATTATGCCCTTTTTTATTGGAATCTTATGATTTTTCACTTTATTCTTCATAGCGAACTGTTTAATAATAGACTTTAATTTTTTAAATGCAAATTAATTAAAGGAGCATTAATTAATTCAAATTTATTTTTAAGTCTGTATGTCTTTTATGATTGGAGAAAGGAGAGTTTAAACAAACTAATTAAATTTAAATTTAATTTAATTAAATTCATGATTTTACTATTTTTGTAGTCTATACCAACCAAATATCATATATTTTTCTTAATATTGTTTGTATTAATATTTATATTAATATTGTTTTTACGATTTCTTATCAATCTGAATTCTGTCAGAAATTATTTGCTTGAAAATGTTTTGAAATTTTTAAGAAAACTAATTTAATGTTATTATTATTAGTATCATCGTCAAAACAAAAATTAAATTTCCACTGACTGTTTTGAATTCATCAGGTTTCTGGAAAAACAATCAAATGTTGTTTTTCTGTCAAGTTGAATGCTTATATCTTATACAATTTTCGAAGCTATGTCTCATATCATGACTAATTAGCACTAATTTACCTTTATCAAATAGCCCTGGACGATCTTGAAGCCAAACAGGGAGGGAAGATGTCGGGCTGCGATGAGGTGGACATTGAGCTCGGGAACGCCGGTGGAACCCTTGTTCTGATCCCCGTTTTTTGGATTGTCGATGGTTATCTGGAATCCGATCTCTGGTTCCAGCGTTACAGAATGTCGGGATGCACCATTGGAAGACGAGTGTTGACCGGGCAATAGAGACCGTAGTTTGTTCATGGTTGCCGTGTGCTCTGGTTTCTACTCCACTCCGGATTGCAATGCAATCCTCTTTTCCATTCGATTGCGCAAAGCGAAGAAGCGATAAATTGTGTAAATGACTTAACACCCGCCGCCGACTTTTTCTTATCTGTGACTCGTACTTCAGAACTGATAAAACTTGCTCTATATTTCCCACCTCTCTGTCTCTCTCTTTCAATCTCTCTCTGCAAAGTGCAGTGCTCTCGGAGATAGGAAAAATAAAACCCAAAGCTCCCCAAACAGCTGTTCACTGGAAACTTTGGCGCTGGAAAGCTCACTCTTTTAACGCTCCCAATAAGTAATCGTGACCGTTGGAATTAGATACGCGAGAGCGGTAATCTCATAAATGTCTGCTAAAGTCGGTAAGTATCTTATGATCACTTGCTTAAAACATAGATGCACTTCACAAATACAAGAGGAAACAGCAAATGGGCAAAAATCTGGAACAAAACCATCTGAACCGGAGAATTACACTGAATTACCCAACTCGCGATGTTGAGATGTCAACAAGTGTTTGAGGTCAGTTCACAAAGCGGAGCACTTAGCACTTAGCACTTGCACAATTAACGACTTAAATCGAGAATAAGAACGAGAATCAGACGGCCGATCTGGACGCTCGCGTTCTCCAGCTGTTCCAGCGCTCAACTGAAAAGTTAACTTGGAAATTACTTCGTATGCGGCCATAATAATAAGCGTACAATCATAATGCCGACACACATTCGCGCGCTCACACCCACAGCAGCGGGAAAAATAATAATAACTAAACAAATAAAATTATTATTAAGAAAAAAACTACTTTTTATTTGTATTTCGATTGTGATATTCTGACTAAAATAAGTTTTTGTTACTGTTTACTAAGTCTGATATTGTCTTCTAAATTAGTTTTCATAAATTTGTTGTTGATAGCCAAACTTAAAAGAACGAAAACAAATATCTTGGTTTTTGGAGTTTGCTTCAATAATAATTTTTTAAATCATTATATTTTTGTTAACACTATTATGTTACCCCCAACTGTTAGAACTTCTGTCGACACAAACAAACGCTCACACTTAAAGCCCAAGAACTTTTGTTCTCTTCTTGCGGTTGTAGAATGCACTGAGATTCTCTCGTCGCCGTTTGTGTCACCGTTATCGCACTAAAAAAAATAGCAGAGATATACCATGTATGCACCATGGGAATACCAAGATCAGAGGCACGATTCTGCCACTGCTTCCACCAGAAAGTTTACTACTTAGCGGTTCCACTGTAATTGGGCCTTCTTTGTAGCACGGGAAACGTTCGTCTTCTCAACGTCACCACCCACATACAAAACCACCCATTTGCGAGGCTATTCACTCCTATGTCACTAGAATTGGTACAGTAAAAACCATTTTTATTCGATAACTTATGAAGAATTAATGAAATTACTAAAAAATTTTAAAGATAGGTAAATTTATAAATATATAACCTTTAATTGCTTGACAACGGGGTAATTATTTCCCCCTTATATCTGATATTTGCGTCCGTTTACAAAAACTTTTACTGTACAGATGGGTGAGGTGATAACAAAGTGGTTTCCTGTCGCTGCTAACAATGCGTCATGGCGTTTACGATGTGCAATACTTAAGTGTGTTTTTTAACAAAAACATGGCCCAAAGAGAGACAGTTAATGATCAAGGGGTTTCCAAAAACATGAAATCACCGCAAGTTAATTTTTTAAAAACGAATTTCTTGTTAAAGGGTTTAAAGTGTAAATACGGAACTTAAAGTTTCTTTATGTTGTTTGAACAAAATTTTTCAAAATAATAATTAATTCTAAGAAAACCGTTGAATGAGTGTTTTTTCCAATTATTGAAAGATGGTTGAAAATAACATCAAATGACATAATTTTATAATTGTATCGCAACATCATTTTCGAAAATCAACTCATCGTTTTATTTTAAATATACATATATTTTTTAAAGAGTTTTGGACCATTTACCCAGTTAGCAAGCCAATAAGATCAACTATCAAGTCAAATAAAAAACGTATGGTAAATTAAAATTCACAAAAATAAGTATATACATATATTTAAATAGACATTCATTTGACATAACGTAACGCATGGATGGAATATACAACTGGGAGACTCCACCACAGTCCCCATCCATTAATGGGATACTGAGGATTGGCGGGGAAATGCCCACGACAACAGTGGAACATCATCCCCGACGAGACCTTTAGTTATACAATTTAGTGGTGATGCTTTTAAATAGGTACGAAGTGTGCATGCCCGCGCGTATTGTCGACTGTCTCAATGGTATCCTGACCTATCCTAGCTTAGCCTACGGAGATGGGAGCTTGTCGGACGAAGGAGTCTAGTCCACCTCCAGTTTCCTAAAACTGCCCACGACACCGGCATCGAGGTCGCCAATATCATTTCCGGCAAAGTTGGCCGCATCCTTGGTGATCTCGATCTGCATGTCGTCCAGAGCAAGGATCGCCGCCCGGCGCTTGAGCAGCTTCTGTTTGAACTCGGCGATCATCTCAGCAATGGGCACGGTGCCACCATATTCCTTGGGCAGGATAGCAGGATCAATCTTTGTCTTCAGGATGTCAACATTTTTGTGAACCTGTAACAGAAAGGCATAGAATTAGTACGAGTACAAAACTAATTTTTATTACATATATACCTAAACTTAATATTATTTAGCTTAAAAAATGTCTAAGACCACGAATATTTCAATAATAAAAATAAAAAAATAATTATTTAATTAATTTGGATAAAGCTTTTCGACTCAATCGGGATTTAAAAACTTATAAGCCTGGAAGTAGGCACTAAAAAATATAGTAAATATCAATGTATTAAAAAAATATTTTTGTAAAGCACTTAAACATATTAAGCTGAACTTTAATTTACTAATAAAATTATTGTTTCTTAAGAAACTGAAAAAACAGGCTGTTCGCCCATCTAATTATCATTATTTGCTGAACGCAAATTAAAATGGAAATTGTCATGGTTAATGAATTGCGTTAAGAAAATATTATATATCTAAAATGTTACTATCCATTAGTCGCTCCATCAGAAAATTAACTCAGCGACATAAAATAAATAAAATAAATCATATACATTTTTTCCTGTGTACTTATAAACTCACAATGATTCGCTTCTTGAGCTTATCGCTCAGCATGGACACGCCCAGCTCGATGATCCGATTAGCGTAGTGAGGAATGTTGACGAAGTGCGTCTCCTTGTGCCGCATGGGCGTCGAGTTCTGGATGCACTTGACAATGCTGCGCAGGTCGTTCAGAGACCACAGACTGATGAAGCCCATGTTCATGCCACTCTCATCATTGATGTATACGTATCCGGCCACTTGGGAGTCCTCATCATCCAGCAGAGCCTCACAGATCAAACTGTGCACTCGCGCCATTTGCACCGAAGTAAACTGAAAAGAAACACATTGAATTAATAAAATAATAAAATAAAATTGTTGTGCTGTGCTAATATAAATAAACTAAATTCCAAATGGAAGACAACATTAAACTCAGAAAGAATATAAGGAAAGTATATAATTTTGTAATTAAAAAAAAAATAAATAACGATATTGCAAGAAGCATTTTTGGTATTAATAAAACGTATCTTTTGGTTCTTACCTTGTAGGGATCGAATTTGGCGGCCACGGAGAAGATGACCTGGCGTCCGGTGGAGTCCCTCTGGGGCAGCGGCACCAGGTATCCGTTCTCGAAGATCTCGTTGATGGCCGGGTCGTTGATGTCCAGCTGCTTGAACCAGTGCGGGAACAGCTGGCGGATGGTCAAGTAACGCTCGAGCATTTCGCAGGCGGCCGGCACGGAGAACTTCTTGGTGCGCAGGAAGCGCAGCAGGAACACTGCGTCCGTGCGGCACTTGCGGATGTGCGGATGCTTGTCGATCCACTCGCGGAACTGGGCCAGCGCCTGGCGCCGGATGTTCTCGTCCTCGTGCAGCTCCTCCTTGGCCACCTGCTTCATCGCCGGACTCAGTCCGCAGACGTACGGATAGTCATAGTCGCCGCCGGTACTCGCCGCCGGTCCGTTCAGCTTTGGTTGTTGCAGCACTTCGGTCTCGAGCACTGAAAGTGGAAAAAATACGTCTTAATTACAAAATTCTATTGCTCCATTGAAATCAGCAACGGGGCCTGGGTAAAATCCGTAAATTACGTCTTAATTAACTATTCTATTACACAACAATGACATTCAAAATCAAGACAGCAGAACTCATGCCAACACGGATTTTGGTAGTAATGAAAACTCTAAATTATTATCGGTCCAATTAACACTTTCACTTTCAGTAAGCCACAGCTGCCAAATTTTAACTCGATTTCCCTAAAATGTTTACGATCAGCCCACTGAATTTCCCTTTTAATTACACTGAAAAAATTAATGTCATTTTAAAGCTTATTTTGCATGAAGCTATATTAGCAACAAAATTGTTTATGTTATTTCTAACATTTTTATTATTTCTGCTGTTAATATTATTTAAAAAAACTAAACTTAGTAAACTGTTATATTGAAGAACAGATAAAAGATATTTAATCTGTCCAATTGAAGATTTTTGGGTAACGTCATTCCAAAAATATTTCGTAAGACATATTTTAATAGGCAAGCACAATGTCAAAAAAAAATGTTAGATATTTTGTAAGTTACTATTTACTATTTAAATATTCAAGCTGCTAAAGAGATATTTTTTGCTTCGAAAACATTTTATTTTAAAATTTAAGAATCCGAATAATATAGTCTATAAATTATATATTTGTTTAACAAACTGTTCATCGACGTTACTAAAGTTTAAAACGTAATAAACTTATTTTAATTACCGAATTAAACTTGATCAGATAAACCTAAATGAAAGCGAAATGAAGTCTCAACTATCTTAAACGGAGATCCCTTGCAGTCAAGTTGCCAATTTATAAGCCAGCTTAAATGCTTCTCCCACCCAAGCGCATTCCGAGTTAATACGATATCAATTAACCAAATCGAACCACATTTTTGGCCCGGTTGTAAGCGAAATATTGGGCTAAAATGGCAGTGGCCGCTGCCAGATTTCTTCACGGCTGACACCACCGACTCTAATTGGCCGGTTGCCCTTGGTCGGTGGCGATTGTGCAATCCGAAATGTTAAAATTCATCGAACTCTCAAGGGTCACCGCAGTTTACTGGACCACCTCAGTAGCCCGAGATACAAGATACATATACGTCTATGCATACCAATTAATCCCACTTGACTTTTGACTGCACAATGTCAGGGGACCGGACTGAAAAGATTAAAAAAAAACACTGGGAACTGGATTGTGGCTTGGACCGACGACTAGAGTGCAATGGCTTGCGTGGGCCAGAGTTTTTCAATCTCTTGTGGCGAAGAAGCTGCCCACATTAGTTTAAATTCAGTTAGCTAATCCCCCAGAGATGCTGCCATTTCCGCAGTTTAATTTCGCCTTTTATTTCTGTGCTCTTACAGAGGTCCATTGACCGTGACCCAAAATCCGCCAGCTGACTGCTTTGCATACGAATCGAATCGTATGTTTGGTGGCTCGGTTTTGTCATTTCAGTGCCCATTTAAATTTCTAGTCGTAAAAACCCAGACGAAGGTCGAGAGAAAGATGCGCGAAGCGGAGTTACCGCCCTGTAATTGCGGATCGGATGGCTTTGCAAACAA